GTTTTTCGGAGTCCCCAATCATGTTTTTAGCCTAAGCATTAAGGTTTTGTGAATTTCGTTAATTAGAGTAAGACTCGGTGATTGATGCATCTATTGCTCAATGAAACCCTTTCATGATTGATGTGGATTCTAGGTGGACAATAATTTTTCAGTACGTAACAGAAACTTAAATGCCTAGCTTTCCTCTAATTTTTCTTTAATTGACTTTGTTGTTGTAGAGTATCTCAATAGTTCATTTATTCACAAACTATTATGAGAACAAAATTCATGACAAATATTACCTTTTTAGAAAAGCATTATTCAATATCTTGATTTATCTTATTTGAAATGAGTCTTTTTGGGCAGGTCGTTAGAAGTTTAATAAATTTCACCAAATTTAATTTTCATTAAGGGCTCATCAAGCTTAGATTTTTCGAGCAGGGTGAAGATTTACACTCGCATAATACTTAATGCATTATGCATACTACTTCTAGACTCGCACACTTGTTATAACACTTGTTTTGAAGTTTATAAGAGTCGTATAACAAGATTTCAAATGAATCAAATTTCATTTCAAGGTAAGTCAAAATCTCGTATTAAAATATAATCAACGATTCTTGCATGAGAAAATAATTAAGAATCGTTCCAGGATCAATAAAATCACACTAGGCCCCTGTTTGGCCCTCATTAAATTACATTCCATTACATTCTATTTTTCTCTCTCCTATTTTCAACCACACAATCTTCCATAAAATAATATTACACGTAAATCAAAAAAATTTCTTTCTTTTTCAACCACTCATTTTTTCAACAAAACACTATTTCTCCCATTTTCATTACCAAAAATGGGGGTTAAACAGGGGCTAGATATATTCAGAATTAGTTCATATGCTGCATAACAAAGAGATTTTAAAACATTTATATATGATTGGAAAAATTAGAATTGAGTTACCTAACAATGATTTCAAGTCTAAAACTTACAGAAGTGAACTTTTAGATTCCAATCTATTTTAATTTTGAATCACAATCGCTAATCGATGTTAAAACTCATGCCATTTTTACATGGCTTGAAATTTGAGGGCTAAATTGTCAAATTACTTGACGTACCACTTTAAGTTGCATCATGTGATTTTATCATTTATACTAAAACGCAGTATATTTAAATAAGAAGAAATTGGCCCCACTACTCTTAAAAAGCGATCAATTAGATTAATTAACTAAAATAAAGTAAAACCTTTCAAAATCGTAATTAATACATTAACCAAATCCCATAACTGTCCAAACCCTAAATTGGTCAAAGAGCCCATTATTTATAGAAAGAGAATACCCTATCTACGCAAGAAGAAGCTGATTAACCTATATGAAGAAGAAGTTAAAACATTGGCGTGATTGATAATTTTTGTCAAATCAGTTTTCTCTTTTCTCTATGAATTTGTTTCTACCATCACGAAAATTTTGGAAAGTCGTTAAATCCATTTTATTTATTTTTTCATTTTCCTTGCTAACAGCTTACCAAGGATAATGGGTAATTAGCATATAATATTTCTATCTTTCACTATTATTGTGAAAAACTTTCATACACAGGTCTGGACATGGTTTGATACGTGAATTTTCAAGTATTTAGTAAGTTGAACCATCAAGGCCAAATTTAATTATTAAACTGTTCAGATTCGGTTCGATTTGGTACTATTTCGTTACCGAGTTCCGTACTATTATTAATTTTTTTAATATTTACAAAGTTACATTAATTCAACTAATGAAATGTTCAATCTTAACTCTTATTAAATAATGCAGTCCAATCTTTTATATCTTTTGAGTCTTTATTTGCTATTGCAAGCTTACAATAATTAGAGAGGTGTAGCTGAGCTTCAATTTGATTTTCCGAGAACAATAGAAATGGTACTGAGGTAGAATAACATATTTGGGTAAAGTTTAAGTCAATTTGATTAAATTGGGTTTGGATTAGAAATTAAAAATAGGAGAATCATATTTTTTGTTTGGGTTAAATTAATTAGTTAGCAAATTTATTTTGAAAAAAAAAAATAATGTAACTTGCTTAAGATAAATAAATAAATAAATAAAAGTTAGGAAAATTCGGTTCTTATTTGGTTTTTCAGTTCTATTTCATTTGATATTTCGTAGGAATAAAAAAGGGACTGCGTATATTTATACATCCTTTTTTTTTTTTTTTTTTTTGGTTTAGTTCGGGATGGGTTTGATTTGATTCAAGAGTTCTGTCCAACCCTAATTACACATTTGATACGCAAAATGTCATTTTCATCCAATTTCTCAATTAAGCAATGAGTACTCTTGACATTTTCCCTCTTTCTTTCCCTATTTGAGCCCATTTTCTCCTCTACTCTCTTTCTCTAAAAACTAATATTTAGGATCTTGTGATATGAACACCAGAGAAAAGATTGAGGCTGCCGGTAAGAAAAATGAAGAAGGCAATGTGTTGTTAAACATCGGGAAATATATGAGAACCTTAGAGAGATATGAAAAGATAATAATTCCAAAGGGATTTTGACTGAATTTGATTTAATAGCAATGTGGTATTTGCTATGTACCATGTGCCTCATATGGGGGATTTTGAACTTAGGCTGCCAAGTACATTGAGTATGACACCTCTTTCTTTGAGGAGGAAAAGAAACAGTCCAAAGCACTGAAGATCACTTGTAACAAAGAAATAAAAAATAAAAAATAAATGCAGCTTTTAAATTGAAAATGAATTATCATAAACAGGCACAGAAGCTGTGTCCAAAGGTTTGCATAATTGGATAATTGCCTTTTCAAATAATGGAGTTCGTTTGTTTGTGAGGAAAGTGTGTGAAGGTGTTGAAACTCAAGAGTACAAACTTGAAGGCACTTTATAGAAGGGCTAAAGCATACGTGAAAATGGCCGATCTAGCTTTGGCTTAGAGGAAGAAATATATGTGAAAATGGGTTCAAATGAGGAAAAAAGAGAAAATTATACAATGAGGATGCCCTTCTTAATAGAAATTAGAGAATTAGTATTTAGCATTCGTTGTCTTTTTCTTATTGTAAATATCTCTAGCAATTAGTTTGCCTCGACAAGATTTGTCCTACAGCATTGATATTGCCGGATTTATGCCTTTGAACCAAGATCGAAGTCATTTTTCTCTTTTTGTTTTGGTTTTATTCTCTATTTTTGTTGAGGGTGATTGATCTGTGTTTATGCCCTTTATTAATTTAAGATCATGGGTTACTTAACAGTACAATGGCAACTATATTTCCAATTATTCTTATTCTTCTTAGGTTAATTTCTTTGAGATTTATAATTTCTCTTACAAATTACTTTGGAAATTTGAATTTCTCATAAAGAATTATTTTCAACATTTTTATCACTTGACTCGATAGAACTTGAATGCATTTGGAACTTTTGATCAAAATTCATTTCTCAACTCTTAGATTTGTGTCAAAATGTCTTTATTATAGTTAATAGTCAATATTATTTGTGCCGTTTTGAGTTATTGTAAAAATGGCTTATTAGGACAAAATTTTGCATTTTCATCCCTATTTTCACTTTTCATTGTGGAAAACATAATTTTTAACCAATTGTTTCAACTAAAAATTATAAAATGACAAATATATATCCTTTCATTTAAATAAAACACAATGAAAAGAAAGAACAAATTGCAATCACAAACCCAATTTTCTTAAAAAAAAAATTACAATAAATCTCAAATAAATTTAACTAAATAAAAACCAAAAAGAAAAAAAGAAAAAGAAAAAAAGAAAAATCCTCTTCTTCTTTCCTCCTATCCCTTTCCTACCCAATCCCCAGGAAAGCCACCTGCCACCAAACCCACAATCACCACCACCTCCGCCACAATTTTGCTCAAGTGTTTGTTGACGTAAAATGGGAGGGACTTTTGGGAAGAAAATGGTGATAGAGATGGTGGTGGCTGTTGCTTTAGTAGTAGGTGGCATTCTTAGGATGGGAGAGGAGGAAAGAAGAAGGTGATTTTCCTTTTCCTTTTTTATTTTTAATTTAATTTATTTGGCACTTATTTGTACTTTTTGGAAATAAATTGGGAGTATGATTGCAATTTGTTATTTATTTTTATTTTCTTTTCTTTTTGTTTCAGTTAAATAAGATGGTATATTTGTCATCTCACAATTTTTAATTGAGAAATAGGATAAAAATTGATAAAATTGATGTTTTCCACAACGAAACATGAAAATATGGATGACAATGTAAAAAAATAGAAATATAGGAATATTTTACGCACTAAAGGCTAAATGTATGGACAATTTGTGCTAATAAGTCATAGTAATAAAAATGAAACATAATAAAAAAGGACAACATATAAAAGAAAATCACCATCCTCTAGATCTCTTCTAAAGTTTTGATTGATGTTAAGTAATATTTAGAGTTGTCATTTTTTTTTTCAAAATTTACGTGACTTTTTTGAATCTTTGTTATTTTTAATTTTTTTTTTTTTTTTTACCTTTTTAAAATTTCTCTCACTTTTTTTTTGTTAGTTTTTCTAAATTCTTGTTATTTTTGCTAGTGTTTATCACTTTTTTTTTTTTATTATTTGTTACTTTTTTATAATTTTTATCACTATTTTTAAGGGACAAAAATCACTTTATTAAAAAAAATAAAAGTGATATCTTATGTCACTTTTTAATTTAAATTTAAAAAGTGAAAGGTCTTTTCAATAAAAAAATGACACTCAATTTTACATAGTATTTTTTACTTCTAAAACATCTTTAATACGACTTTTTAAAGTACTCCCATTTTAAGTGTATTTTTGTAAATTGGCCTTTAAATAATTTTGTAAAAATGAATATCTTTGAAAGATTGAGGCGCTCGGTTCTAATTTTTCTGATACGATTTTATTCCAACTCCATATTGTCATGCTTGTTCACGTAGGTAAGAAATATCACAAGGAAAGCCCATTAATTGACCATTTCCTGGTCCAATAAACAGGCCTACCTAATGACTTTCCTATTCGATAAAACGACACCGTAAATGTACAACATTAACTGGAAATTCGACTAAAGAACCCTAAAAATACAAGGATTTGCTCGTATAACATCGTTTCCGAGCCTCTCCTTACAATCTATTCTCCTCAACTCCTAAAAATATAAGGATCCGAGGAGTTTTGGAAAAATTCACAAAAAGCGACCACTGGTTTTCAACTCTCTCCTCAAGTTCACTTTTTTTTCTTTTTTGCTGCAATCAGGTAACATGTATCCAATTACATGCATAATTTTCTTGCTTGTTATTGTATGAATAAATATATGAAGATGTCTTGATTGTTTGATGATATATTCCTGGTTAAAGAGTTATGGTTATTCTTTTTATTTAACGAGTTGTTTACATGGAATAAACAAATATAGTTATTAAAGGTTTTCTTTGCTTCGTATTGATTTGGAATGTGTTTTCGAGTCTTCTTTAACTTGTCATTTAGGATTCTCATAGCAATAGTGGTTCCATTTTTCTAAATCCTTTGGGTTTTGCGAATCGGACTTCGTTTATGTGATTGATTGATGATCTTATAGAAGTGTGAAAGTGGATTTGAACACATATATTTTTGTGTGTGTGGGTGGGTGTGGGAGTGGGCGGGTGGTTTATATGTAGTTGAAGGAATAATTTATGATGTAGATGAAATATCGGATTGAGTGAATTTGTAATTATCCTGTGTGGATTTTTGTATAGTTTATTTCAGTGAATTTGTAATTATCCTGTGTGGATTTTTATATAGTTTATTTCAGGAAGTTTGGATGGTACCTGCCTCTTTCGACCTATCCTTACTGTTCTGCCCATGGTACCGTTACATTTTGAATAGTTTTCTATCATTTTGTCCTACAGAAGCTGGAATCGTAAATGTGTGGTTTTTGCATATTTCGTGACCTATTTGCATTTTGTCTTCATGACAATGCATTATCAATGGTTTCTTTTGTGAAATCAGATAGTGTTTGAATTATCTGTAAGGTGATGATATTGATCACCAAAGATAACCCAAGCTCAGTTTATACCCACTTCCAACACCACAAAGCCGACAACTACGAACCCAAGACAATACCAAGTTTTCTTCCGGTTGCCAATGAGATATATTACTTAGGAGACCACAAAGGAGCAAGAAATCTCATAAACTATCACCACTAAGACGATAGACAAAAAGAGGCAGAGAAGATGGAAGAAGAAACTACAAAAATCGTCCAAGAATAGGAGGCAGCGACAATTCTCTCAAAATGAGAGAACGAGACCAATTTATCTCTCAATCAAGTGGCCCAAATAAGGTAAGTATAGGTAGGTTAAACAATGGGTCAAGTTGGAGGCCCAAGAGACAATTAAATGGGCTCACAAGATATTCTCTCAATTATTGGCCATCCAAGGAAGTGTAGGCCACGAGCAACAATAAATTATTTAGGTTGCTTCGAATGACCCAATTAACCTTCGGGTCGTATCGCCTCGAATGTGGTGTTGGATCCCATTCAGTCATTTGGCCAGGCCGACTAAAAACTTAAACCGAGTAATATCATAACCCAGGGGAGGTCGTTTGACAACAAATTGCCTAACAACCTCCATCTCGGTGTCAAAGGACCTAACAACTTAAATAATGTTTTCTCAGATTATATATTTTCACTTTCGATCTGCCCATCCATCAATCAACATGAGATACAAGTGCTTCATCTTCTCCTTTGAGAATAGGGCATCGTAAACATCTTCAATGGTAAGTGCAAGATCGTGTCCCAAAATGACGAATAAGAGGGGGCAATGATGCAACAAGATCAAAGTCAAATCCTCCTCTTCATACTTAACCTCCAATGTCTCTAAATCTATGATAATTTCCTCGAAAACAACAAGGTGGTCTTCTAGTGATCCTTCTTCCACCATGCGATGGGAATATAGTTTTTGCTTTAGAGCCAATTTGCTAATGAGACTTTTAATCATGCACAACTGCTCCAGTTTGAACCACAAAGCAGCCGCCATTTTCTCCTTCAAGATGTTTTACAAAATATTATTAGATAAATGAAGATGAATCTACGATAAAGCCTTTCTATCCTTTCGTTGTCTATTCAACTGGCATCTTGTCAAAATCTAGCAATGCATCGTCCAAATCCAATTGCGCCAAAATAACCCTTATCTTTTCTTGCCACAGAAAAACCTTGTATTACGATCTAACAATGGAATACCATATTTTAACGAAGCCATCTCTGAAAAATATCAATCAAATCACAAAAATTCTATAGCCTAGCTCTGATAACACTTATTGGAACTAGCAAGTTACCAAAATTGCTCTAGTACCAATTGTTGATCCCAACAGCGATGCAAGGATTGAGATTAATGACGTTGTATGAAATATGTAACAAGATCACAAAGATGAAACCAGATTAAAGTAGGAACAGAAGAGAGTTAAAGCAGAGGAACGATGTTTTATTGTAATGATAATATAGAGAGAAATATGTTTTATTTTTGCTTAAACAAAACTAAAAGAAGAGGCAACTATTTATAGATACATACTTTACCATAAAAATGGAAATAATATGGAATAAGGAAATAATATATTTCTATATAATCACGTGAAAATAAGGAAACAATTCTTTTTTTCCAAATAATCTAACCTAATTTGTGTCATAAACCCAACAATTAGTGACAAAACTAATACATGAAATCAATAACCAAGTTTTGGTTGTAGCAGGGCATAAGAATTTATTCCAATCTAAACTAACCAAAAACTTTACCAACCAATATTTGGTCAGTGAAAGTGTTTTATAGCAATCAATTTATTTGGTCGAGCGAGCCAATGTTTTTTGTAGTGAGAAAAGAATTGTTCAACGATGCATGTGTAATCTCACCTTCCAATTGGTTATTGATAAGATAGACATGACTTTTGCTCGACGTGTTGAAGCAACATGGGATTGAGCAAGACAAGTTGTGTAACATTCCAAAATAATAATAATAATAATAATAATAATAATAATAATAATAATAATAATAATAATAATAAATTAAACTATAATTTTTCTGATGTACTTTCTCTGAAAAATTTATATTCTTTTCTACTGAAGATTACAATGGATGAAATTAGGATTCAGAAGGAGTTAAAATTTAAAATTTCGTGATTATGAAATTGAGTGTTTTCTGCCATCCAATTGTTGACTGATGACCAAAATCAAGAATATTAATTCATCACCATTCAAATTTTTTTTTCTCATCCAATTGTAAGTGAATTTTTTTAGAAATATGCTTATGGCTATATTTGCTATAGTATTATAGTTGTTCCATGCAACATCCCAAAAATTCTAGAATAAGAATTTAGTTATTTTATATGTAATACTTTTATATTATAAAAATAAAAAAATAAAAAAATGGAAAACTGAAATGAAGTAGGTTCTAAATTCATAGTTTAATTAGGCCAAATAATTAGATTTTAAAGGAGCGAAAAATAAGCATATCAATATTAAGCTTATTTTGTAGTCCGAATTAAATAATGTAGGTTGGGCTCAAGAAAATATAAGGTCGTATAAGTTAAGCAAAAGCATCATATTTCATAGGTATTTTTTTAATGTATCCTTCAAGATAATTAGCAAAAGATTATAATATTTTATTTGTATAATCACATTTATCTTTAGTTTGAAGAAATTAACCAAATTAGTTTACGTACACATGCATTTTATTTAACCTTTTTATTCTATAATCTCTGTCAATTGAATTAGGTTCACATTAATCCAATTAAAAACTGTTCCCCTTTATTGTGCCATGTGGTTCGGTTGGGTTTTTCATAAACCGTGATCTAGTATATAATATATGAAATGAGATTAGAATTTTTAAATTCAAATAAATCTATTATAGAATTATTTTATATGCGGTTGACTTAGCTATAAGTTGAAGATATATCTAGCCCCCATTTGACCCCTATTACCTGAAAATGAAAATGGGGGGAATAGTATTTTTTAGAAAAATGAGTGGTTGAAAAAGAAGGAAAAGTTTTCGATTTACGTGTAATATTATTTTATGAAAGATTGTGTGGTTGAAAATAGAAGAGAAAAAAATGGAATGTAATGTAATTGAATTTAATGGGGATCCAACGGGTGCTAATCTAATCAAATTTTGTTGGTTGAGTAAAATAAAGATAATCCTAAGTGATTAACTATCTTAATTAACGAGCAGAATCCGCTAATTAACCGATTACATGTACATTGTTTATTTTAGAAAATATTATGTCATACAAGTCCTAAAGCAAATCGAGTGCTCCCGATTCCAGCAGTCCTCGATTTTGTTGACAATAAGATATTGCTTTTGTTGAAATTGGGTAAGAGATTGAAGAATTTTAATTGAGTTATGGACAAGTGTGCATGCCTAGAATAACTAACCAATTAGGATTTAGTCAAATCTTGGTCACATAGCATATACCCTCTCTTTTTCTCTCTCACGTGATTTATTTGAGATAGTACAAATCAAGTAAGTCTTTTGGTTGAGATAGAACTTATCTTTTATTCTAACCACCTCTATATAAAGCTCATGTATTCCAAGCATATACTCACAGAAACTTCAGAAAGCTTTTTACTAAAGAAAATAAATAATCAAGTCAGAGAGAATGAATCATTAAAAAGGAATTTTTCACGTGCATTTTTCCATTACAACTTTTCAAATCAGGTAGGATATTGTGAGCAAGTTCTTCCGTCCTTTCAATATTATGATTTATGATATGATTTATTTCATGAAATGATAATTGGCCTGCGGGTCCCTATGAAATGAAATGTGAAATCTCCTTCACGTCTTCTCAAATATGTTAGATTATTCAATTCATCACCAATCGCTCTTGATGAAATGATGGTATGGAATAAACTCATGTTTTAAAAATTATCACATTGTTTCGGATGCACGTATCCTACTGAGTATAAATTACTCACTCCTTCAAATTTAACATTTCAGGTCAGATCGGTCGACGTGGATGGTAGCTGAGCGGTGCGCAGGTTGCCAAGTAAGAAAATTTTCAAGAAAACATTTAAAAATAATTTTTCTAGGACATTTTGTGTTTCCATTTATTTCCATTTAACATTCCATGTTACATGGCAATACATTTATTTGATTCAGCATTTGAGTATTCAGTAAATTAAAGTTTTAAGTTTTCAATTTTTATTTCCGTTTGATGTATGTTTATGGAATGATATCGGTAGCACCTTAAAATTTAATTTGATAAAGTTTGGGGCGTTACAGTATTGTATCAAAGCATGGTTTTACCTTCCTACAGACTTTTTCAAAAAATAAAAAAATAAAAAAATTGTGAACATTAACCGGCACTGTTCACGTGAGGAATACAAAAAAAAAAAAAAAAAAAAAAAAAAAAAAAAAAAAAAAAGATGAAATTTTTATGCTTCTATAAGCCACTTTAATTCTGTATACAGTGGAAAATATAACCATTGTCCATTGCAATCTAACTGCGCACTGTCACCCTGCATATCATTTGTCTTTTTTTGGTCCCATAGTGAATAAGATCAAATTCGAACATATGGCACAAATAGAAATTTGCTTAATTTTCCAGCTAAATGTTAGCAATCCAACCATACAAGGTATATTTATGTTGTACTTATATGTGTGCATGTGTGTATCTATATAATAGTGTGTGCATGTATTTGTATGTGTCTCGATGTGTTTGTTGACATAAAAAAGGCGTGTCCACATTATACAATATATTTAAAAAAAAAAAAGTTATTGTTTAAGTTTTCTGATTTGCGCATCCACAAGACTGAAAGGTTTTGTCAAAAAGACCTAAACTGTCTAAGGTGAGCTCGCAATTTAAGCGGACCGCTTGTGACCCCCCTCCTTACCTGGAATCCTTTTCAATTGTGTGTTATTCAAATCATTAAGACCAAAAACAATAATTTTAAGAAAATTCTATATTTAAAAAAAAAAACTTCTATTTTGAGAAAATTTTATAGATTTGTTCCTTCGTGAAAATAAAATGAAATTTTATAGATTTGTTCCTTCGTTGTGAAAGCTTTATAATTAGTAAATAAATAGCTCGATTGACTTTTGCTAAATTTTCATGCCTACAGTAAGATGGAATTTACTTGGTACTTTTTCCCATGATAGACGTAAGCCATTGGATAAATGAAAAACGAAAAAAAAAATAATGATTTTCTTTTATTTTATTTTGAAGGTTAAATGTTTATCTTAAATTGATATTAAATGATGATTTTATGTGTTTATTTTTAGAAACTTTTATTTAACGACATTCCTATTTTAGGAAATTTTCTAAGTAAATAAAATCAAAAAAATTTATAAAGATTAGGAATTTAAGGATAATTTTTTGTAAAAAAATTTTAAATATGTAATGATATATACATATCAATCTCCGGAGACATTTAGTACCTTCTTTTTTTTCTGATTTTATATGCTGTTAGGGAGATCTAGAAATTATGTTTTATTGTGGAATGTGATATTTTAATAAGTTAATGCAAAGAAAAGGAATAAATATGGTATCGTTTTTTTTTTTTTTTAAATCAAATGCACATGGAAAAAAATTTCGACACTTTTGACTTTTAAAAAACACTACTTGGCTCACATCTCTTCAAAATATTTGGTTTTCGATACAAATTTGACCCGGCCTCTCAACTGTCCCAATACTTTCGAAAATATTTTTAACCCACATGGATATGTGCTGGCCAGTGGCCGTGATATCAAAACAAAATTTTTGAATTGAATTAAACCACTCTCTCAAGATTTTACAAAAAATGATTGTGTGCCTCGAAATGCTTGAACGTCACACCCAATCACCAACAACAACTTCTACCATCATAACTCGTGCTCAATGCCTAGGGACTCATGTGGATAGTGCTCAGCTTCATGCATGGATGATTGATGACTTACTAATTAAAATGTAAAATTGATAAATTCCTAAGCTAATGCAAAAATCAAAATGAATTAAACTAAAAAGATACAATGGGTTGCCTCCCACTCAGTACTAGTTTATAGTCGATACCTCGACTCTTCCACTTTTGCTTCAATTAGGCATTCTGAGTTGAAGGGTGGACTTTTGCTTGGAGAAGTCCTCGCCCTAGTAGTGTTTCAGCCTTGCCCATTAATCGTGAATGTTCCTTTTGTTTCATGGCTGACCTGTATAGCTCTATATGGCATAACTTTAGTGATAACGTAAGGACCCGACCACCTTGATCTTAATTTTCTTGGAAAAGCTTGAGTCTCGAGTTATATAACAGAACTTTCTATCCCACTTCGAACTCTCACCTCTGAATATGTAGATCATGCCACCTTTGGTGCTTTCTTCGATAAGCTTCGTGTTTTCATATGCTTCCATTCTAAATTCATCTAACTAATTGAGCTCAATAAACACTTTTCACTGGTGGCCTTCAAATCCATGTTCAACTGTTTCGTAGCCCAGTATGCCCGGTGTTCTATCTCTATTGGAAGATGGCACACTTTTCTAAAAACTAGGTGGAATGGAGACATGATTATTGGTGTCTTGAATGTTATCCTATATGCCCATAATGCATCGTCTAACTTTTTAGACCAGTAATTGCTGGAGTAGTTCACTGCAACCTCTAATATTCTCTTCAGCTACCGATTGGACACTTCGAATTGCCCGCAGGTTTGTGGATGATATGGGGTTGCTATGCGGTATTTAACCCTATATTTACTCAATAATTGCTCGAGCTAATGATTGCAAAAGTGTTTGTCCTCGTCACTGATTATTATGCGCGGTGTGCCATATCTCATAAAGATGTATTTATTCAAAAACCCAATTACCACCTTTGCATCGTTTGTTGGTAGTGCAACTGCTTCCACCCATTTTGACACATAATTAACTACTACCAGGATGTATTGATTTGAAAACGACGGGGAAACGGTCACATGAAGTCGATTCCCCAGACGTCAAATATCTCGACTTCTAATATTCTGTTTAGTGACATCTCATGTCTTCTTGAGATATTGCCAGTGCGTTGATATCTATCACACCTCTTACCAAACTCAAAGGCGTCTCTGAACAATATAGGCCAATAGAACCCTGACTTCAAGATTTTTTTGGCGATCTTTGAACCTCCCAGGTGCCCCGCATAGGCAGATGAATGACAATGCTCAAGAATTTTGGGTACTTCATCTTTAGGTATACATCTTCTCATAATTTCATCAGGCCCTCACCTATAAGAATAGGATCCTTCCAAAAATAAAATTTCAGTTCAGCAAAGAACTTCTTCTTCTAGTGACTCGAGTAATATGGCGGTGGGATTGACTTAGCCAAATAGTTGACGATATCTGCATACCATGGGGCTTCTTCTGTACTGAACATCTGCTCATCTGGAAAAATTTCGTTGATATTCACTGACACTTCTGGTTCTTCATGTTCTAATCTTCAATGTCAAATTCTCACAGCAGTAACATCCAACGGATCAATCTCGACTTAGCATCCTTCTTTGTCATTAGATACTTAAATGCGGCGTGATCTGTGTAGACTATGACCTTAGACCCCACAAGATATGATCTAAATTTGTCAAAGGCATAGACTACCACCAAGAACTCGTTCTCAGTGGTTGCGTAGTTGATCTGGGTATCATTCAATGTTCGGCTTGCATATCACTGGCATCACACATTAACTCAAAAGATAATTTCCAATCAGGTACTACAATTATCGGTGCTGACGTGAGTTTCTCCTTCAAAGTGTTGAAAGCTGTCAAACATTCATCATTAAATTCAAAGGGCACAACTTTCACTAACAGGTTGCAGAGAGGCTTGGTAATTTTTGAAAAATCCTTTATGAATCTCCTGTAGAATTCGGTATGTCCCAAGAAACTATGAACCCCTTTACTGATGTTGGTGGTTGTACCCTTTCAATAACCCGAATCTTTGCTTTGTCCACCTCAATCCCTTTTGCTGAGACCCGATGCCCAAATACAATTCCTTCCGGGACCATGAAGTGGCATTTCTCCCAGTTCAATACTAAATTGGCTTCTCTGCATCTTTGTAATACCAAATTCAAGTGTTCCAAATACTTGTCAAATGAAGACCCAAAGATAGAGAAGTCATCTATAAATTTCTCTACCATGTTTGAGAAAATTGCCATCATACATCGTTGAAATGTGGTAGGGACATTGCGAAGGTCGAAAGGCATCCTATGGTATGCGAAAGTACAGTAAGGGCAAGTGAATGTTGTTTTCTCTAGATCATCTGGTGCCACTGGTATCTGATTGTAACCTGAATACCCGTCGAGAAAACAGTAATGTGAGTGGCCTACCAATCTCTTCAGCATTTGGTCAATAAATGGAAGGGAAAAGTGATCTTTTCTTGTTGCCGCATTGAGTTTACGGTAATCGATGCAAATCCTCCATCCTATGACTATTCTGGTTGGTATCAGCTTATTCTTTTCATTAGGCACTACAATTATTTCTCCTTTCTTTGGCACCACCTGAACTGGGCTAGTCCATGCACTATCTGATATCGGATAGATGATTCCAGCATCTTGAAGTTTGAGTACCTCTGATCAAACCACTTCCTTCATATTTGGGTTCAACCTTCGCTGACTCTCTATGGTTGGCCGAAAATTCTATTCCATGAGAATCTTATGCACGCATAGTGAAGGGCTGATCCCTTTGATATCTGCTATGGTCTATCCAATTGCTGTCTTATTCTCCCTGAGTACCCTAAGCAGTTTCTCCTCTTCCACTTCACTGACTATGTTTGAGATGAGCACTAGAAGTGTACGTCTCCCAAATTTGCATATCTGAAATGACGTGGTAGCTGCTTGAGTTCTAATTTCGATGGCTGCTGAATGGACGGTAGTGGTTTTGTGGCTCCTGTTCTAAGCTCCTCAAAATGTCTTCTACATGTGTAAGGTAGGTTAGTGTCCAAAAATCTTGCACATGTTTCCATCTCTATTGAATCGGACTGTGTTGACTGGGAATGTACAATGCAAGTTTCATACGCATCTGATGAGTTATGTAGCAAAAACGATGGATTACCTTGTCAATCACGTCGATCTAGATACAGCTATCTGTCTCTATAGGTAGTTTCATTTTCTTGAAGACATTAAATGAGATCTGCTCTTCTCTCAGTCTCAAAATCGACTGGCCATTCTGAACGTCAATTAAGGCTCTTTCTTTTACCAAAAATGGTTTGTCCAGTATCAATGGA